CGTCTCTGGCCGCTTCTGTGGAGGCGACACGCTGTTTGACACAGTCTTTGGGTGTTATGTTTTGGGGCCCTCGCCCAGTTTGCAAGCCTCTGTTCTGCTTTGCGGCAGTGCTTTTCAACCTTCCAGTTTCTGGCCTGTGCCTGTGACGGGATAATACTTAAGTGAACATATAGACGTTGGGCCAGACCGGCTACGTCCTGTCATGAATGCTCTTGAGGCGCGAACCTCATTCCGCCCGTTCGACCTTCCTACGTATCTACGTGTCGTCCTGCCGGGGGGTGTGAACCTTTGTGGCTTTCCCATGTTGCTTACTACACCGCGAGATCTGGAAATCAACCGCTGCCAGATGTACTGCCGGTCTTGCCCACCATCACCAACATTAGCGCTATCACCATACATGCGAAACTCAGTCCTTCGAACTGCAAACCACCCCACCCTGTGTGGCAGGTGGCTTCAGTGGCATCGCTCAATGCACAGGAAGTTGCACCCGAAACGTGGGCAATAGGATACCAGGCAGAAGGGTTGAGAAGGAGTGTAGATCAAGAGCGACTCGACTCTTTCCACAGCCGCGGAATCGTAAGGCTTGTAAGTTGTCGATGGGCTATCGCAGCACCACCTTGTTTCAGCGATGTTGCTTGTTGTTGTATACTATTGTTAGAACAATCGTCCAAGGAATGATCATCGCCGGCTGTGCTAGATCATCCTAGATCCGTTTGTTTCGGGGAGGAGCTTTCCAATACTGGACGGAAGTTGGCGACCCCCTCAGAGCGCTACTCGACCTGATTCGAAGCCGTCACGTGCTCTTTGCGTATTTCAGGATGAGATTCAGCATGGATCTGAACCCTGCTTCAAATCCCCCGCCTCAAAGGATTCCCCACAGGACCAGACGTCTTTTGCTTGGTGACAAGGATCTAGAATCGATTCCCAACATTATACATACAGGAGGAGTCAGCCACACAATTGTTCAACAGAGTACACAGGTGTGAGTCCGGACACACACCGACGCGGAGAACCGGGCTAGGAGTTCGCTGCTCTGAGGCAGCCCGCAGCTGTTTCATTCCACTTCGATGGCAGCCAGAATGAAGGCCTGCCACCCACAGAGCCGTGTTATATGACCGTGGTGATTTCTTTCATGCAGGGCCTGCAGATGGGGCTCACCTGCACGAGGCATCAGTAGGCTGCAGGTTCCTTCACGCCAAGCTCCGGTACTTAGTGCCAGTTCAATTACTTGGGGGCTCGTGGTCAGACGACGGAGGCAAGCGTCTTCCTTCCGCAGAACACGTCAAATCTGGTTCGGGAATCTGCTGACGTGGCGCCAAAAGGTTTGGGACGGGGGACTTACGGTCTTGCCTTAACTGCTGTTGGGGGGGCAGGCACGTTCGAGCTGCTTCAGATCGTTTGAAGACGAGTTTCGTCGTGATTATTTGGATTGATGCTGTCGATGTTGGATGTCTAGCGGCTAGAAGGACATGGAGGATATCAACACTGCCCGGGATTCCTGCAAAGCTTCCTGAAGGCGAGCTGTCGCCGAGTACAGTGGCACGTGCGGCTTTGGACAGTATTCACGAGCTCGACCCGCAGGAGCAACGTGTAATTTGTAGCCTGACCGTCTGAAATCACCGCACCAAGACATCCGCCGCAACAGGTGACAGCAAGTGAAAGCATTGTCAGACTATTTGCCAGTTACACAGCATGTCATGTCAGGCTTGTTTTCGTGGCTTTGGTTGTTACTGTTGGCGTTTGGTGTTGTCTGTCTTCCTCACTTCGTTTCGCATTCGTTGCATTACCTACGTCTGGCCCGCTGCGAAAACAACATGTTCTGTAAGCCTGTACTGCTTTTTCAAGTCTTCGCCGAAGTTCTAAGAGTCCTTGAGCCTTGAACGGCCGGAGTCCGGCGAGGCGCCCGCCAGCACGGGCCAGAGCTCTGGGAAGGCCTTCGCCTGCAGTGGCCCCGTGGCAAAGCCTCAGACCGTAAGGTTCCACAGACAGTGTGGCAAGGTGGGCTTCCACATTTTTGGTTCCGATCCATTTGTTATTCACCATGTGCCATGAACCCTAGAGATGTCCCGAGGTCTCTTGGTGGATGCTGTCGTCTTGCAGAGCATCAACAAGATCGATCGACCCCGGGCGCTCCTTGATCGTCCACAGGTTACGATGTACTGCAGCACATCATATACATAATCTTGCAGGTTGTGAGGCATACGTCTCAATGTGGCATAGGATGACAGCCGCGCTGCAGGCCTTGTCTGATTCAGGCAAAATGCGAAAGGTTAATGTGAGTTTTTGACGGATGGGCAACTGCAGCAACATGTATCAGTCAGTACAGGGAACGTGACATGGTAGAAGCCATTACACACCAGCTTTCTGTGTACGCATGCCAATTCCCGATGCTTGTTGTCAAAGACTCGTAGAGGCAGCACGTGTTCGCCGGGGGCGGGTCACCCCGGTTTATGTTCGATCATGGAGTGGCATCGGGTTGTTTACACAATCGGTTAGAAGTCGGAAAGCTCGAGGCGTGCTCGGTCCAGAAAATGTTCCGTGGTGCGGGTCTTCGGATTTTCAGGCCTTATATATTCAAACACTATGGTTGGTGGGTTTAACAACATCCTTTCATTTCCTCTGGTTTGCGTCCCGTCACTGTCGTAAACTCGAGTTTACTCTTGCAGGTCCCATTCTTTCGACTGCTCTCTTTGTGTCGTCAATGTTGACGAATTACTTGCATAGATGTCCGGCGCCATTCCTGATGGATGATGTCCATGTCAGAGAAGCCGAAGGTATATTCCACAAAGTCAGGTACAATCCCTCGAGTACCCGCTGTTCTCTCTGGATTGTTCACGCCATGAAGCCGAGGCAGGAGCTGTCAAACCTTTTGCGATGGATGGCAACAACGGCGGAGATGAACGGTGCCCCGGCTCCCAAATGCAGTTGCATCGAGCTGTCAATACGTAGCAAGCTCCATCGGGTGCTCCTTCTTGGTAAGGCCCTTCAGTCGCGTCGGCATGCCGGCATGTGGCGCTGCAGATAGCAACCAGGCGGTGAATGGAAAGTCTGAGATGTCACTAAAGTGAGGCTCTGCAGTGGCACATCCTGAGCCACTTGAGGATCAAGAAGCAATCCAATATCAAGCAATGCCAGCCGCTCTTTGCACACCATGAGCAGCACAGATGCCGCTCAAGACGATCACCAAAAGTCAAACCGAGTGAAAGACAAGAAAGCCTCTGCTCCCTAAGTCGCTGCTGAGCTGATTGTGGCTGGGGCAAAGAAGCAGCAACAGCAGCATGCTCAGCAGAAGTATATACTCAACATTGAAGCAGCCGGGGTAAAAACATACCACATAGCAGCAGCAGTAGCAGCACCAGCAGCAGCGGCAGCAGAAGCAGTATCATCAACAGCAGTAGCAGCAGCAGGAGTAGCATTATGTTGTACTGCCACTACCACGGAGTTTTAGTAACAGGAGTCAACGTAGCGGTGGGGGTAGCATCAGTAGAAGTAGTTGTGGCAGCAGTAGCTGCAGCAAAAACAGTAGTAGCAGCGGAAGCGGAAGCGGAAGCAGTAGCAGTAGCAGTAGTAGTAGTAGTAGCAGCAGTAGTAGTAGTAGTGGTGGTGGTGGCAGTAGTACTCTTACTACTAGTAGTACTTGTCGTACTAGTGCTGCTAGTGGTACTACTGGTACTACTGGTACTAGTGGTACTACCGGTACTGGTGGTACTAGTAGTACAAGTAGGACAAGTAGTACTAGTACTGTGCCAGTAGCACGAGTAGTACTAGTAGTGTGCCGGTAGTACTAGCAGTACTAGTACTGGTATTGTGCTAGTAATACTAGTATAGTATTATCGTGGTCGGCGTCGTCGTCGCTGTTGTCGTAGTGGTGGTGGTAGGTAGCAGCAGCAGCAGCAGCAGCAGCAGTAGTGGTAGTAGTTGTCGTCGTAGTCGTAGTATTCTTGGCATTCGTAGCAGTTGCAGCAGTCGCAGTAGTCATGGTAGTCGTGGTGGCCGTCGTCTTAAGTCGTGGTCGTTAGCAGCAGTAAGCTGTGGGTTGACCGCTGAGATGTGTAACCATGCATCTTGCGGGGCAACAGTCGCCGAAGCGGTAGCAAAAGCAGCGGCAGCCATTTGAGTTGTGGTGGTATCATCGAGACAGGCCACCGGTCGTTGTAGCTAGAAACATGGAAGGCCATAGAAGGCCTAAAAATGGCACATTCCGTTGACCGCAATGTCCATCACACAGCGATCGGTGGCCTAAGATGTAGGAGGTGGCCGGACGGCAAGGACATTCATACCCATGCCCCGCCACATATACGAGGAAGCCCCCCTGCGATTGAAATGGTTAGGGGCCGAATTCACAGCCGCGTAGAAGTGCGAAGTCCTGAGAACACTTTTGACTTAAGCCCGCTGTACTGAGGCATCTTCCGGTTCCCAGGACTGCGGGTGCATTGAGAGCGTGTTCACAGTTTGTCGCATAGCACCTCGCAGCACCTCAACGTAGTGGCGAGGGGGCTGCCAGCGTTGCGAGATGGGCTTGAGAAAGTGTGCATAGCGGGTGAGATTTGGGCTCGAGATGTTTATTGCCACCGTCTATCGCTTCTTGGGCTACCAGGGAAGCCCGCATCCAATCCGGACTTGAGGAGCTAGCAAACGGCGCCTGAAGCTGCGGCATCGTCCTTTCGCGGGAGGCGCCCGTGTTGGATTCGGCCAGGCCAGCGGCTTTCGTGCCTTCTCCAACCAGCAAGCCAACCAAGCAAGACTTGCTTTCGCAGGCGCAGTCGAAATTTCTTTTCAAGATAGGATCTTGCATATGCACATGCAGCTAGGCAACATCTCGCAATCGAAACCTTGAGGTAAGCGCAGCCAGCACCTGTCATAGGTCGCTTCGTGAGAACCTGCAAGGGGCACCGTTGTAAGCCCACCGAAACCAGACAACTGCCAGGTCCCAGGTCGTCTTCCGGGCGGCGTCCCCCAGCCCGCAAAACTCAACGAACGCAGCACGGGACCTCGCGACGATGCTGCCGGCCAGCGATGCGGTCCTTGCGGCCTCGCCCGCGGCTTCCGCAGGCTGAAGCAACTCCAACAATCCGTTTCCCTCGCCGTGTGTAGGCGTAGTTGTTTCCACCTGCATTATTCGGTTTAACATGCTGCCTGTTGTGGTATGCTACATAGGTATATTCGTTATATTATGTACATAGATTACATATTACATATACACATATGTACACATATGTACTTTCTAGATTTGTTACTGTTTGTTACATGAGCTGTTTATGTTGCCATTGGAGCCATTACGTGTGATTGATTGACATGCATCTCTCATATGTCATATGTGTATCTGTGCCCAGTCTATGCGTAAATATTTACAACTGTACAACACAAACACACATGTAGTCTAGAGTCTAGACATACACGTATGTGTAGATATACATTATACGGAAGAAATACACACATTCATATCCCCACCGCCAGCCGCTTGATATCATCTTTGTCCTGACCCAACTTATCGCTTGGGCCGACGAGTGGCGGAAACCTCTCATCATCGCCATTGCTGACATCAAGGCTTTCTTCGACACTCTTCAGCATCACGTGCTCTATCAAGCGCTTCTAGCTTCGGGGGCACCCCTGCGTCTGGTTGTTGCCTTGCTCCGTGAAATTGTGCACAACAAGGTCTCCTTAGCGTCCATGGCTGGTCACTTTGTGGAGCCTGATGTCCGCCTTTTGCGCGGGGCCAAGCAAGGTGGTACCGACACTCCTGAGCTGGCTACCCGTTACCTCGACTACTTGCTCTGCCCTGCTGTCGCCTCCTGGCAGTCTGACGGGCTTGGTGTTGATCTTCTTGACGGCGGTGAGCGCTACTCGCACTCTTGCTGGGCTGATGACTGCAACTTCGCTGCCTCTGATTGGTCCTCCATGCGTCGCATGCTTACTGACGCAACCTCGGCCATTGAAGCCGGCAGCCTCCGTTGGAAACCTGAGTCTTGCGTCATCCTTGCCAACACTTGGGCCCGCCAACTGCCTGATGCTCCCTCTACTCACCTTCCGGTTGCAGCGCCTTATGGCCAGCAGTATTCTTTTCAACTGCGTGACGCTCATGTTCTCCTGGGGGCCCAACTTCATATGTCACATCTTGATGCCGAGATCTTCCAGCACCGCCGCTCCAAGGCTGATCAACACTTTGGCGATCGCCGTCGCCAGCTCATGTGTCGCAAGTCCTCCACGCGGATCCGTCTCGTGCGCTACTACGACACTGTCGGCTCCACCTTTTCTTGGACTTCGCCTGTTTGGCACCTCCGGCCTGCTTTGCTCTCGCAGCTCAAGGCTTGGGATGTTAAGCATGTTCGTTGGATCCTTGCGTATTTCCCCCTGCCCCACGAAGGCCCTCAAGCGTACCTGCTTCGTGCAGCCGCTGCAGTGCGCTCCAAACTCGCTCTCTGGGGTCTGCCTCCGCTTCTTGTCCGTGTTTTGCATCTCCACTGGACTTGGGCTGGGCATGTGCTGCGCATGGACACTTCCTCTTTCCAACACAGGGCGGCTCTTCTCGGTGCGCATTCTTGGCGATGGATACAAGCCGTGGCACAAGATACCGACCCGGCTAATCTGCAGTGCTGGCGTCATCCACGTGCCGGTCGCCGTTGCCTTGCTTGGGACTTCTGGCTTGAGCGTTTTCTCCCTGACCTGGATTGGGCGGCTCGTGCTGCTGACCGCCATGGCTGGCACTCCCTGGCTCCTCGATTCGTTTCTATGGTCCTGCATGCGTTGCGTCAACCGGTGCCCGACCTTCGCCCTCTTCATGGCGGCCTGCACCTGACCCAGCCTCGCGCGCCCGCTGACTTGTTGGCACCTGCTTGCAATGTTGCGATTCTTCAGCGTGTCTTTGCTCTCTTGCGGCGCCCCTTGCGCCCCTGCTGCTGTCAGATCTTTGTCGCAGGTGACAGTGCAGTGGTCTCCAAATGGATCGCTGGTGAAGCTCAGCTCGACGCTGCCACTCCTCTGGTACCGCTTGTGCGTGCAGCCCATGACATGCTTCTTTCTCTGTTCCAGAGTGGCGCGGAGTTTCGGGGCTTTCAGGCCTCGGACTCTCGCAGGCTTGTCTCCCACATTCCTCGTCTGCACAACCAAGCCGCGGATGCTTTGGCTAACAAAGGTGCTGATGGATGTACGCTGGAACAGTTCGACTGGGAATCTGCGTCCACATTGCTCCAACAGCCCTGCACTGTGCTTGTTACCTTTGATGGTGCGGCTCGCGCCAACCCTGTCGGTCATGCTGGCGCTGGCACTGCTTTGTGGCTGTCTATGCCTGACCCGGCCGGTGGTGACGTCTCCTGGAAGTGTGTCGCTCAAGCATCCGCGTATCTCGGCATCGCTTCCAACAATGCTGCTGAGCTCTATGGCCTCCTGCTGGCATTGCTCCTGCTCGTGAAGCTGCTGTCGTCGACGGGTGTATCGCTGGTATGAGCCTTTCTTCAACCGCTAGGCGCCTGACTAAGCTGCTCCACGCTTTCTTGGGATCCCCGGCCTCCCGTGGCACCAGCCAGCTGTTTGAGCCTGTCTCCAAGAGGCGTGGCCATCAGTGTGTGCTGTTCGGGCTGGTCTAGAGGATGTCTGTGCTAGTGCCCTGACCTGCCGAGTGCGGGCGTCGGAGAGGGTTGGAAAAATATATATGTATGTATGTATGTATATATATATATATATATATATATGTGTGTGTGTGTGTAATTACCGATATATTTGCAGATACACACACACACATATATATATATATACATACATGTACATATATATATATATATATACGCATGTAACTATATGTTATATATATATATATATGTACAGAGATAGCTGGTTAGTTGGCAATCAATACTATATCGATATCTAAGTCGTTCGATATCTCTTTTATTCAGTTGTTATTTTTACATGTTTTTTGTATGTGCACACTTGTGCGTGATCGTGTATGTATACTTAACTGTCTGTTTGTAGGTAGTGTGTGCGTACATGCATATGAAGGTATGCATGAGTGCATGCATGGATGGCTTTATGGATCTATGTACCTACCTGTGTATGCTTGTGATGTTCACGAAGGGACTCACGTTCGTGTATTGTAAGTATGTATATATATATATACTTGTATTTATACATACACATTTGTATATACATGTATGTGAGGGTAGGCTTGTGTATACATGCCGTCACGCGTAGATGTCCATGTGATTGATATTCACAGGTTTACACTTAACATGGTTACAACACAAGTCAACAACAGCACATGAAACAGCACAGAGAGAGAGAGAGAGAGAGGCTTTAGGTGCAAAGATGTTCTTCGCTCTATTCCAGGTCGTGACCTCAAATAAGCTCCGTGGGGCGCCCCTTCAACAAAGGCGCTCCTTAGTCTCACATCTTCGAGGTCAGGGGACGCCCTGTAAAAATCCAGAAGCGTGGCAGCCATTGTTGGATGATACTAGTGTAAGCAAATGCCTGGCATACTGTGACGCTGCATCAGTTTTCCCTTTTTCAGTTCTGTTCCTTCGTTGGTGACCCCGTGGAAAGCCAGGCGATCGTTTAATAATTAGGTATAGCGCTGCTTTTCCGGGCTTCAGTTGGCGAACTGTTTTTCCTGCATCGTCCTTTTATGCTTTACCCAGTTCTGGTACTTTGTTGCTGCCCCTGTTGAGCCAACGCGGAAGCCGAGCGAAGTAGGAAAGACCAATCGAGGGGATTCACCCCTGAACCCATGATGGCATGCCGAGACGGCACGCCCAGCTGTAGGGGAGACGTCCCCAGAGGTCAAGGCCCGTCACTCCAAAGTTTCCGTTAGGTACTGTCCTGTGTACCTTCACTTTTCGCTTATGTCCAACCTTCGATGTACTGGAACCCGTAATGCCTTGACCTTCACTTTTCGCTTTTCTCTGTCACACCTGACCACCAACGACGGGGAAGACCCCCGACACGGCAACTGAATGGTTTCAGACTCCGAATCATTTGTTGAGCATACGTTGATTTGCAGCTTTTTCGAATGCAGTTGCCGAGGGTAGAGCTTGACCTTTTTTGACAGTCAGAGCCGAGGTCAGTGTTTTGCCCTTTAAACACCTCCGCAACAGTCGGGGGCGCACAAGCGCGCGGTGTAGGGGGTCAAACCCCTACACCCTAGCCCTGGCGAAAGAAAGAAAGAGAGAGAGAGAGAGTGCACCACCACACCTTCGACCACAAGCAGGAGCAAGTGAAAGTGCGAGCACCCAGGAAATTGCCGACCATCGGGAACCTGCACCCTCCACAGAGCAGCGGAGCAGCCCAGATCCAACTGGACCCGGGGAGACCACCCCGCTGGCACAGCGTGTCCGATTTCAACTGCCTCCTCACCATCGAGAACATCCCCCAAAGCCGGTGCGGAGACAAAAAGTATTGGGTAAGCTCACAAACAGTACGACGGTGGAACTCAAGTTCGATGGACTGTCGCACAACCCCGTCATCTTGGAGGACAACAGACCTTCCTATATGATTGAGAGGGGAGCAGGGAACACAGATGCTTCAGCACCACATGCCATCCCTCATGACCGACGAATACATGGTAGCCCCTCCCAGACTGGCGAATACAATCATGGTGACATGGAAGGAGGTGAGCCACTTTTCTTTCAACCTCCTGCCGTTCGACGCGAGGCCAGCCAGTCCTCTCATGCAAGGGCTGGCTCCAGCACGGACCCGCCCACAAAGCCAAGAAGGGGTTTCTCCCCTGTTCTGCCTACAGTCGCTGACCTGGAAGCCGACGCGAACCTTGCCGCCGCAAGGGGGGGAAGCCCCAAGCTGGAAGCCAGCCCTCAACGACTCCAACTACCACATGCAATCGAATATCAAGGTCGGGGCCAACACTCAAGATTTGGCATGGGTCCTGGGCGCAACGCCCAGTACAGTCCCACCCACCGTACCACTGGGAGCTCGCACAAGGAGAAAGGAGGAGTTCTTCCTGTGGGCACCCAGCTCACCCTCCGACCGGTCGTATTGAGCTGGGAACAGCCCTCACACCCAAATATTGGCTGGTCGTCGTTGACTACGTGGAGGCAACGGAGACGCTG